GCTTCTTGTCGGAGCACCCCGGCGGCGAGCTGGCTATCCTCACCTTCGCCGGAAAGGATGCCACCGAGGAGTTCAACATGACGCTTGGCTGCAAGCAGCTATAATATGCATACTGTGTGCAAGCAGTCATGCTGAACTGTAGGATCCACCCTCCGGATGTGATTGGCAAGTATGCTCCTGACTCCGTCATTGGTATGATCGGTGGCGGTGGCGGCGGCGGTGGCGGAGCAGTTGCTGCTGGCGGAGGTGGCGGCGGCGGTGGCGGCATCCCCATGACCGAGGTGGCCAAGCACAACACCAAGACGGACTGCTGGGTGGTGGTCGACGGTCAGGTCCTGGACGTCACCAGCTTCTTGTCAGAGCACCCCGGTGGTGAGCTGGCTATTCTCACCTTCGCCGGAAAGGATGCCACCGAGGAGTTCAACATGCCCCTCGGCTCTGAATTCGAGCGTCGACGAGGTGCAGAAGCAAGTTTGTGGGATTGCACGTTTCGGTTTGCTGAGGATCCATCCCCCGGATGTCATCGGCAAGTACGCCCCTGACTCTGTGATCGGTGCGGTCGGCTCCGGCGTGGCAGCTGCCGCCAGCGCCGCGCCCAAGGCGGGCGGTGGCGGGCCCATCAGGACTGCAATGGGAAAGGGAAGGTGGGAGGGAGAGAGATAAGGAGAGGCGGGCAGCAGCTTGTCAGGAAAGACACGGGCAGCAAGCTCGGCAACCACGCGGCTTGGGGTCACCTGGACGGGGCACCCAACTGGCGAGTGGACCTCGACGAGAACCCAGGCACAGCTGCTCCTGATAGAGTGAGTACCCACATGTGTTCGACATGCAGACATTGCAGACAAACGTGACTAGAACGTTGTAGTCGTACAACCAAGTCTTGGTCCCTTTGCCTGTTGGGCAGGTGTCCTCCTGATCAACGTCAAGTCCTATTTCAACGCCACCTGGTTCCTGCTGCTCTCGGTGCTGTACGTACCACAGCTGCGTTGGTGTGAAATCTGAAGCGATCTGCTCGCCTGAAGCTTTGACAGGACTCGGACTGTATTGTACTACCAGTGCACCATCTTAGGAAGTGTGCGCTACCATCTTCTCTGCAAAGAACATCAAGATCTCCAACGACCGCTTGGGTCTGACCCGAAGCGCCATCTTGCTGATTCTCTTCATCGTCATCCACGCGGTGGGTAACCTCCACGTCTTCAAAGGCCGGGTATCGTAGCTGTTGCTGTAGGTTCAGAGTTGATGCTTGATGATGGCTGTTGGAAGAAGACAGGTCCTGATGACTTCAACGGCTACGGCTACTTCTACGTGCGCCTCTACTGGACGGGCTTTGGCCTGCCAGCCAACATCGTCGAGGAGTACATCCTCCTGTCGGTGTTGCTCCACGTCTTCGTGGGCCTGAAGCGAACATGGGACATGAAGCTCGCTTTGGTGCAGAGCCAGGGCATCAACGTCCTGAACCTGGCCATCTCCGGCTTGATGCTCCTGACCTTCATGACCATCCACCTCTTCCAGTTCCGCTTCGGCGACACCGACCAGTTCGGCCCCTACTACATCCGGCCGCCTCCGTACCTCATCAACTTCTGGGGCATCTCCTCCCTGAACCTCTTCTGGACCTCCGACGCCAGCGTGGAGAAGGTCGGCGTGCGCGACATCTACGCGGCAGCCTTAGAGCGCTCCACTACACCAAACGTGAAAAGCCTGCATGCTAAAATGAAATTGTCCGTTGTCTTAGGCTTTGGAGTTCCAGATCTTTAAGAACCCGCTCTGGTCTTTCTTCTACATCTTCTCCGTCTTCATCTTCATGTACCATGCCTGCATCGGCTGGAAGAAGGTGGACGTTGGTCGAAAGCCCTCAAAACTGGAAGACTCTTCGGAGGACCCTAACTCCTCACTGCAAAGGGCCAATCGAAAACCACGGACACCAGAAGGGGCCCTGAGTTAACTGCGGATATGGCACTTCAAGCCCGTTCGCCCGGGGCAGGTGACGCCCGTGCTGGGCATTCCCAGGGGTCACATCTGGCGAGTGGAGCTGATCGGCTACGGCATCATGCAGCTCGGGTGTTATGAGATGTTGAAAAGAGAGGTCCCAAATCTTCCAGGATCGAAAATTGACTGCTCTATGGAGAAGGCGCCTTCAGCCCCGGCGAGCCCTAAGCCGAACACTGTACCTTCAAACGAGGATGGAATGCTTAAATCGCAGAATTATTGAAGCCTCAAGCCCAGGATCGTCATGGGCCTCGTCTACATCTCCTTCCCCCTCTATGTCATGAGCACCCAGCCGTTTGGAGGCGGCGCAGCGCTTGTGGAAACCAATCCTTAATCCCCTAGAGGCGGAAGAGCCCTAAAGCCGGGCAAGGCTGTTTAAGTTTAAGATGTTGAGGCTATGTGGGTGGTGTATGCTAGGGCGGGAGTCGCCGCGTGGCTTTATCAGGTAACTCAAAAGGTGGGATGAAGGTTCGCGTAGAGGATTTGCGCCGAGGAGTCCAGCAGACAGAAAGGCCAGATGTTCCAACCCGTGAGCTCTAAGCCCTGCATCCTGCACTTTGAGCCTAGGGAAGGGAGGATGCGGCTCGCCAGGCTACGAGACGAGCATCCAGATCCCGGGACGCGTGGAGTGAGCCAAGGCCCGGCCCGGCCGGGATTTTTCGCTCGGCGGATGTTCTTCGGGTGGTTGCGAGAAATGGGGTTTAAAAAACCCCGTCTGAGGGGGCCTTCGGCCCAATGAAGCTGCTTCATAGCTAACTCGGAGCATGTCGTTCTTTAACGATAGACGTGAACCACCAAGACCCTCAGGGTGAACGCAGAAAGTCAGCAGCCCCTTTTGCGGAAACCCCAAGATTCTGAACCGAAAATCCTAAGCTTCACCTTAAAGCTCTCCGCAAGCCTCGAAACCCTGAAGTCCCCCAAAGTCGTACAATCTTCAAGAACCTCCGAACAGATTCGTTGCAAGCCTCACCCGCGCGACCAGTCAGCCGAAGGTGGTGCCTGCGGCGCGGCGCGCAGTCGGCGTGTAGCCAAGTTCTGTTCGCGGTTCAAGCGACCCAGGAGGCCGCTTGAGGTTCGTGTTGGATTGTTTTTAAGCGCATTTTTTTTGTTTGTTTCGCTGGTTGCTTGATTTGTTTGTGGGGCTTCTGGTTTTCGTAGTCTTGGGGTCAGGCTTCGTTGGGGTTTGGATCGTTTTAGCTTGAGATGATAATTGGCCATCACCCAGCCGACTAATTTCGATTTTCTGTGATTCGGGGTCCGGCGGCGAAAGGATCGAGGCGTTGAAACTACCTGAACCGTCGGTCATACCTGACAGCCCTCCAAACGGCCGAAGCTCAGAAGCACTTCCGCGGGTCGTGCAAAACCTCAGACTCCCAGGCCCTACCCAAATCAGAGGCTGGTTTGCAAGGGACAGCCTGAGGCTCTGGGAGCCCCAGACCCTGAGAAAAATTAAAGCCCTCAAGCTCCAACGGCCGCCACGAACCCAAAGCCGCGAACCATTCCTAGAAACCTCAGCGCAGGGCGCCCGTCCTGGCAGCCATGAGAAACTAGGACTCCGAATTGTGCCGGTGAGTGTGTTCTGGAGACTTTAGCACCTTCGTGCAGGTGTTGCAGTTTTCGAGGATTCTGGCGTCGAATTTAGAGTTGAGGGTGTGGGATATTGCAGGTTAACGTGAGCTCCCTGTCACATAGGAGTCCGGATTGAATGTTGAAGGCTCACTTTGTTGCTGCTCTTTGGGGTGTAGAGACAAGTGCGAGGGTCTTGGGCCCGATCCTCAACGTGAATCCACAGCTTTCAAAGACCTAAAGTCTCAGCCTTAAACTAGACTCTAGACTTTGAGAATTTGGAACAAAGGATCACGAGCGCCATGAATTCTAAGCCCCACGTTTGGAAAACGGCAGAAGAAAGAGGTTCACCTCACCGGGCGAGGCAACTAGCCAATAGCTTTCCCCTTTTTAAGAGATGTTTGTGTGGCACAGGAGCTCCGGTTCTCCCAAACATCACCCACTGGTCACCCACCCTCAATGCCCAAACCTCAACGCCGAACCCCAGCACATCTTGTGAGAACTCGAGCATGCTTTGACTTCCTGGACCACAAGGGTTCCAAAGTGCAAGCCGGTGGCAAAATGAGTGTGCCCCGTGCTAGTATCAGAAGGTCGAAATTGCTACCATTACCAACGGACAGACATTGCTGAGGCGCGTGCTAAGGGGAAGCTGATAAGACTGTAGTGGCCCAACCTGAAACACGGAGTGACAGCTAGAGCCATCTGGCATCTGTGAGTTTCAGAAAGTATGGAGCGCGAGCCCGAAATAGTAGCATCCCCTCGACAGCAGCAACACTGGACCGTCAAAGATCGATTCAATGCCTGAGCGTTATTCCACCACTAGGCTACTTCATAACCTAAATCCTAAACCTTGTAACTTCTAATGCTATAATATGATGATGCAGTGGTTCGCGGGTTGGAGCTCCGAATTCCGCAGCCGTGGGCCCATCCCGGTTCCGTTTACGGCGGCGAGCATTTCAAGCGCCCGGGGGGAGACTCCGCTGATCAGAGGTTTGAGACGGTTCTGGTGGGCTTCAGTTTGAGGGCTTGAGATGGCTGTGGGATTTGGTTCCCTATGCCCTGAACCTTAAACGAGATTCGGATCCTCCAGCCCAGAAGCGAGATGACTTCCCTTCGCTGAACGAAACACCGATATTCTCGAACCTTAGACCCTTGAACCCTAAACTGCGATAACTGCAAATCCTAATACAAATCCCTTTCTTTCAGATCGCTTCCTTTTCCTCAGTGAGGGATCATGGGACTTCGAAAGTAGGAAAGGTATGGGAGACAAAGCCCGTGATTCTCGAACCTGAGCATCTTAGGCAGAGTCCAAACCGTAATACTGAACCTTGACTTCTGGAAGAGACCCCAAGGACGTCATTACTGCATTCCCGAAGCCACCCAAACCCTGAAGCAAACAACAGCCCTTAAACGCCGTCGCCTCTTTTCTGAGCCAGGCTTTTTCTGCCACCATGGCGTGTTCGTTCCCAACGAACCAGGCAATCGTGGTCGGCGGCGGCCTAGGAGGCCCAAAGGGTGATGACACCCTCTGTAGCTATTCTCGGCAGTAAGTGGCCAGAAGAATCGAATCGCTAATCAAACTGGATTCGCTGAGTGTCCAAAATGTTGCCAGGCCTTGTTGCTCCAAAGATTGTGAATTTTAGATGTGTTCTTGCTATTGTTGTGATTATTACTAATCTCAAAGGTAGCGTTCTTTCTCACTGCTCTGAGTCTTCTTCGTCGTTTCTTGTGGTCAAGTTTGTGATTTGTTTCAGGGTTTTTTGATTCAAGAGAGCTGGAACAGTGTGTTGTGTGTTTAGGGTTTGGGGGTTTATGGCTACGGCCAAATTAAATGGCAATCCTGGCAGAGTCTGCTTGGTGTCCGAGAGCACCCCCAAAGCTTGTCATCCCCTGGAGGAATGTCTGCCGCGAACACCGTGGTGGAGCATGGTGGACGCGTAGTGTTGCTGGCTTCTTGTCATGCTTCAAAATTTAATTATTCGGGCTTCATCAGTTCAGGCTGTGTTCATGAAACGCCCGCACACTGCACGTAAACCTTCGTTGAACCCTTGCAAACATACCTGTCCTGACCCTGATTGAGCATGCTAAGTAAAGTCCTGCTGTAAAAGTAACCTTTATACAGCTCCGTCATAATCTCCACGATCAACCACTCATTGAAAGGATCCCTAAATGAGAGATCCGTAAGTTTCGGAAATCCTCCCCTCATCGGTTGAAGAGCTGCGGGCCTTCGGGGCTGTGGTTCCGGTCTTGAGCGAGATTCAGGTGGTCTTTGGGTTGTTGGGGGTTTTTAGGAAGTTGGGTTTTGGGGGGATTTATGTCTGTCTGCTTTTGTTGGTAATCAACGGTTTTCTACCTCCTGCTGATGCAGACCCTGCTCTAAACCTTAAATCCTAAATCACACACTCAAAACTTCAAAGCTACCAAAAACTCGAAACTGATTGGAGTGGAACTCCACACCCTGAACTCAACAACAAATTCTTGCCCTAAAATGTGCCGAAACTGCTTGAAACCCTAGAAGCCCTTGTCGAGGCCCTGTACTATTCTACCCTGAAGACTCAAGGACAAGTCGTCCTTTTGTGGTGGCAACAGCACGAAAGCCACCTCCGGCATCAACGGGGCAGGTTCCGACTTTGGGTAAACAACATGAACCCCAGATCGGGGACGTAGTACGTAGGTTTTCATTGGGGTTATCAGTTTGAAGGGTCTGAGGGCAGAGGGCTGGGGCGCTCGTTGCAGGATTCGGAGACTTGGTACCTAGGTTACCAGCAAGGTTTGGGGTAAGAAGTGCTCGAAATAGTCAGCGCCATCCCATAAATTTGATCATGGGCAATGGGACCTTCCGCTACAGATGTAATAGCGCTTGCCACTTGCCTTTGCCATCATTTTGTGTGCCGGGGCTTGAAGCGACACCTTTGGATAGCTGGTCTACGTTTTGTTCGGGCCTGCTGACGTCACAGTGTCAACAGCAGCAGAGTAGGAGCTTCATATGTAGTGATAGAGGATGCCACCACTCTCGGAAGAGCTGAGAATCAGAAGCATCAGGCTCACCAACAGGCTCCAAAAAGAAGCAGAGCATCGTGAGCATCAGCCGCCGCTATCACAGCATCACAGGGGCATCCGCCGCACAAGCAGACAGCAAAAGAAGCCGAGCACCACGAGCATCAGCACCAGCAGGTATACCCGCCTGGCACCACCCAAGCTGAGAATCAGGAGCATCGGGCGCAACAAGAGGCCCCAAAAAGAAGCAGAGCATCATGAGTATCAGCCGCCGCTATCACAGCATCACGGGGGCATCAGCCGCACAAACAAACACCAAAAGAAGCCGAGCATCATGAGCATCAGCACCAGCAGGTATACCCGCCACGGCACCACCCAAGCTGAGAATCAGGAGCATCAGGCGCACCAAAAGGCCCCACAAAGAAGCAGAGCATCATGAGCATCAGCCGCCATCACAGCATCACAGGGGCATCAGCCGCACAAACAGACAGCAAAAGAAGCCGAGCATCATGAGCATCAGCACCAGCAGGTATACCCCGCGGCCACACACCACCCAAGTCGAGAGTCAGGAGCATCAGGCGCACCAAAACGCAACACAAAGAAGCAGAGCATCATGAGCATCAGCCGCCATCACAGCATCACGGGGGCATCAGCCGCACAAACAAACACCAAAAGAAGCCGAGCATCATGAGCATCAGCACCAGCAGGTATACCCGCCACGGCACCACCCAAGCTGAGAATCAGGAGCATCAGGCGCACCAAAAGGCCCCACAAAGAAGCAGAGCATCATGAGCATCAGCCGCCATCACAGCATCACAGGGGCATCAGCCGCACAAACAGACAGCAAAAGAAGCCGAGCATCATGAGCATCAGCACCAGCAGGTATACCCCGCGGCCACGCACCACCAAGCCGAGAGTCAGGAGCATCAGGCGCACCAAAACGCAACACAAAGAAGCAGAGCATCATGAGCATCAGCCGCCATCACAGCAGCACGGGGGCATCAGCCGCACAATCAAACACCAAAAGAAGCCGAGCATCATGAGCATCAGCACCAGCAGGTATACCCGCCACGGCACCACCCAAGCTGAGAATCAGGAGCATCAGGCGCACCAAAAGGCCCCACAAAGAAGCAGAGCATCATGAGCATCAGCCGCCATCACAGCATCAGAGGGGCATCAGCTTCACAAACAGACAGCAAAAGAAGCCGAGCATCATGAGCATCAGCACGAGCAGGTATACCCCGCGGCCACACGCCACCCAAGCCGAGAATCAGGAGCATCAGGCGCACCAAAACGCAACACAAAGAAGCAGAGCATCATGAGCATCAGCCGCCATCACAGCAGCACGGGGGCATCAGCCGCACAAACAAACACCAAAAGAAGCCGAGCATCATGAGCATCAGCACCAGCAGGTATACCCGCCACGGCACCACCCAAGCTGAGAATCAGGAGCATCAGGCGCACCAAGACGCCCCACAAAGAACCAGAGCATCATGAGCATCAGCCGCCATCACAGCAGCACGGGGGCATCAGCCGCACAAACAAACACCAAAAGAAGCCGAGCATCATGAGCATCAGCACCAGCAGGTATACCCGCCACGGCACCACCCAAGCTGAGAATCAGGAGCATCAGGCGCACCAAGACGCCCCACAAAGAACCAGAGCATCATGAGCATCAGCCGCCATCACAGCAGCACGGGGGCATCAGCCGCACAAACAAACACCAAAAGAAGCCGAGCATCATGAGCATCAGCACCAGCAGGTATACCCGCCACGGCACCACCCAAGCTGAGAATCAGGAGCATCAGGCGCACCAAGACGCCCCACAAAGAACCAGAGCATCATGAGCATCAGCCGCCATCACAGCAGCACGGGGGCATCAGCCGCACAAACAAACACCAAAAGAAGCCGAGCATCATGAGCATCAGCACCAGCAGGTATACCCCGCGGCCACACACCACCCAAGCCGAGAGTCAGGAGCATCAGGCGCACCAAAACGCAACACAAAGAAGCATAGCATCATGAGCATCAGCCGCGGCAGTTGCTACCCGAGGTGGAGCCGTCCTGAGCCAAGCCTAAATCCCAAAATCCCGGAACCCAAAAGTCCAAATCCTTGGATGCATTAGGAAAGGCTTGGATCCAGCTGCTTCGGACTTGACATTGGCAAAGCCGTAGGGTGAAGGGGTTTGGGTTTGTAGAGCTTGCGGTTTAATGTTGGGCCGCCGCTGGGTTCCGCTGAACCCATATTTACAGCGGTCTCATGAGAGGCACCAAGACTCAGAAGGCCAAAGGCATCCCAGACAACGCCGACATCTTCACGCAGGCCTCCGACTTCAGCAGATGCATCGTGGGAGGAAGTCCAATCCACAACGTTATCTTACTGTAGACTCCTGTAGACACTTCACATCAGGTGCTAAGGAGTGTAGCTACCCAGATACACAGCTCGTCTTGAGCAGCAGTATATCCGAAAGCAATGGCAGTAGTGGTATCTGGTTCTGAAAGCGAGGATTGTTGTTGGGTAAACACCAATACCCCCCCACCCCCCAAGATTTGATCATTATAGCGGTTGGTGCCATATTATTTGAAGCTCTCCTTGGAAAATCCACCGGAAAGACCACACACAGCACCAAAAGATCTCGCCGACTCCTGCCCAAAAACTCAGCCCCGAAATCGTGCACCCTGAAATAATCTACATCTTAAACTCTTAGTCCGAGCCGCATAAGTCTGCACAGGATACCCTCAAGGGCGGCGCGAAGAAGCCGGAGCTCGCCAAGTGAGACACTCAGAAAAGCAAGGCTCCCTTCATCCCGAACAAAGCATCCGGAGCCTCGAGACCGAGACCAGGCCTTGTCGTCTCAGACTTCCGCCTTACGCCTATCAAGGTTCGGGCTTTCAGAAGGAATCGAAGGAACTTTTGGACCAGAAGAGCACATCAGCATGAACGTTTGAAGCCTCACCACACCCGCCATCCTCTGCGAGGTTTTGCTTTCCGAATCTTCGTACGTTTAGGTGCTTTTTCTCGGGCTCCTTGGCGAATCGTGGCTCAGGCTGCTTTGTGATAACAGCGCTGCTGATGTGGATGCTTGGATGCCCTAAGGTTTAGGGTCTCGATTCAGTTCGTAGGGCTTGGGATTTAAATTAGTTTCGGGTTGAAGACCTACATCGCACGTCCTCGTCCTGAACTTACACCAACATCAACTCCAAGCCTTAAGCCCCCGGAAATCCGTGCCTTGTTCCAACATGTTCTTGGCCCTTGGATGAGAATGAAGCCCCAAACGCAACACTCCAGAACTCCTACACCTCGAAAGTAAACTCAGTTCCTGAATTCCAAACTCCACCACAACCTTGAAGCTCAAAAGCCCAGAGCCTTCTGAGCCTTCGAAACTTCAGAGCCCCGAAGCACGCTGAAAACCAGAAAGGACAGGAAGCCGCCCTTCGCAGAGCCTAGGACTGGTTGGTGGAGAAGTTCAACCTCGACCTCTCTCTCGTGGCACGCCCCACGGCCGGACTCGGACCTTGGGGTTATCTTATTCCCAAGCCTATTTGGGCAAGGGCCAAGATGAGACGGATGTGTCGGAAAGCACTCTTGAGAGCTTCGTTCGGGATCTGGCGAGGCGTGTCTGTGAGGATGTGTCGGTCCAGCTTGGAGAATGGATGGACTCGAGGGTTTTGAATCTGAAGGCTTTCTGGCTGTGGGTTGCCGATTGAAACTCGAACCCCGGAAAATTGCAAGCTCAGTGTTTATGGTCCTGTTTCTGCAGACTCTTCCGTCTTCCCAGGTTTGGGCGGCCACTCGCAGCCACGGACGCACCGAGGAAAGGAGCGCTTCCCGGGCACCTGGGCTCTGGAGTTTGACGTGTTTAGGCCTCCTGAAGAATTCCTAGTGAAACCCCGCCATTCAGTACTTTGAATGATCCATAGAGGACCTGAGGACCTCAATCCTCAGGCTTCTTTGCTGGGACTCTCGAGGGCTGGGCCGGGCTTGGAGGCTGAGGAGTTGAGGAGGAGTTTTATAGACTGATAGACGAAGGGCTTGCAGGATAAGGGCCAGGCTGGCCAGGCAACAGGGTTTCGAGACTGAGGGCTTCATTTTGGTATCGTCGGGGTTGAGGGATTTCTGCCTTCAGATCCCATGCAGGGCATGGACTTCACGGCTGAATGCAGGTCCAGTGCTAGGACGGAAAATTTCGGAAGTTTCACGTTGGTTTCGGCTGCAGGGCTTTCTACAATGCTTGAACAGTGATTGCTAGCTGGATCAACTCAGGGTCAGTGCCTGTGCATGTGGGCGCACGGTTCTCGAAGCTTTGTAGTCTTACTTAGTCACTGTCGGTTGCCAGTACATTTTGCTGAGTCATTTGCAGCTTTAGTGCTTCGGTTTGAGAGAGATCACGGGCACTAGGGCCGCACGAGAGGTGAAGCCGCTTTCCGGGTTGGAGTTAAGGCTGAACACACACGACACCCGAAATCCCGAACCCTAAACCGTGTGTGCCCAGCTTGCGCACGCACCCGACCCCCCTCTGAGGCCCATGTAAATCTCCCAGTTGCCCTACACCGCATATATCAGATCTAGAAAGGTAGTCCTCCGGGAATCAGACGGCCCTGCATGACGTCGAAAATCTCACACCCGGCCCCCAGACCCTGAGCTGGAATCCTACATCATAAGCCATATGCCATTAGTTGGTCTAGACGAGACCAACCCACTGAATCTAGACCCTCGTCCCCTAAACGTAGACCCTCCAACCCTAGGCCAGTTCTCTCAGCCCTGAATGAATCAAATTGGTTTAGGGATGAGGGTTCGGGAATCAAAGTTGAGGCTGAGTTCGTAACCCGTAGATTCCCACAGGTGCCAAACCTGTAGCCCTAAATGATTTGCATCCTTCCCCCCCTCGCTCTTTGACACCGGACCTTGAATTAGGTCATTAGTTTTGCAGTTTCGGATTCTGCACAGGTCTTGGGTTCGGGAAACCTCCGACCCTGCAGCCCAAACCCGGAGATGTGCTACAAAGCTCAGGCATGACCATCACGTATGCCTTGATCCAGATGTTGGAGAAGGTCGGAGCTTTGGGGGCTTGGGGGGATCCGTCCTGGGCTCTTGGCAGGTTGCGGAGAAGACGGACCTGGCGCGCATCATCACGAAGGCCAAGGTCTTCAAGCTCGTGACGGACAAGAACGCATGCGTGGGCTGCGTCTACGAGAAGGGCGGCCAGAACTTCCAGGAGTTCGGCCCCGTGATCCTGGCGTCAGGCAGGGGCGCAAGACTTGCATGAATCGCATGCGAGTCTAGTTGCCTCGGCATCAACTTGCACTCTCGGTGATTTATGCTGCAGGTGGCTTCGGCGCGGACTTCACCCAGAACTCCCTGCTGGCCAAGTACCGCCCCGACCTTCTGCACCTGCCCACCACCAACGGCGAGCACTGCACGGGCGATGGCATCAAGATGGGCGAGGCGCCGCCCTCCATCCCACCATCATGCAGTTGCTGCACCCTGTCTTGTCGCCAGTAGCCCGCGGCGTTGGAGAGCCCGTTCCTGTCAGGAGATCGGCGCGAAGACCATCGACCTGGAGTGGGTGCAGGTCCACCCCACCGGCCTCGTGAAGCCGGACGACGCCGATGCCAAGATCAAGTTCCTCGCCGCCGAGGTCGCGCATGCGTCGTTCTACAGACTCGGCATTCCGCTCGGCTCTCTCAACCTACACCTTACACTGAAGAAGCTCAAAGCCCCAACGCCTTCTTGCAGGCCCTCCGCGGCGTGGGCGGCATCATCCTGAATGCCGAGGGCCAGCGCTTCTGCAACGAGCTGGGTCGCAGGGGCCTTACGCAGAGCGTCAGAGTCCATGAGAGTCCGGCGGAGTGTCTTCTCCGGGTTTCTTTGCAAAACCAGGCCGCGACTACGTCACAGGCGAGATGTGGAAGAGCAAGCCGCCATTCAGGTGCGTTGCAACCCCGGCTTTGTGCGAAATCGCTCGCTCACACATTTTCTTCATCCGTCCTCTCTCTTTCTCCTGTCCCTGCTTGTGTTTTCTTTTGGACAGGCTCTGCCTCAACAAGGCAGCCTCCGATGAGATCATCTGGCACTGCAAGCCGCGTACTGAGCAAACCGTGTCCACATCGCCGACTGATCCGTATTCGAGACCTGGCGGTGCAGCATCCGAGGCACTACACTGGGCGTGGCGTGGGGAGCTCAGTCGGGTAAACCTTGCGCTGAAATTCTCGAGCATGCTTGCGTGGCAGCTCAAGGTCATGAAGTACTATAGCAGCGGTGCAGACTTGGCGAAGGACATGGGCGTCTCCCTGTCCGTGATCGAGAAGGCCCACGAGGACCACTTCCAGGCAGCCAAGAAGACAGAGACGCACCCAAACGACGGCCCCTTCCCCGCCTATCCGTCTGGCAAGTGCTGGGACGAGGCCCGGCATCACACTTTCAGCTGAGAGTAGTGCTAGACCGGACTCTAGACCGCACTTAAAACCGTGCCAGGCCAGTGGCAAGACGGGCAGCGGCAAGAAGTTCTTCCACAACATCATCCCTGGCGACGCCGTGAAGAACGAGCCCTTCTACGTTGCCATCATCACGCCCGTGATCCACTACTGCATGGGCGGCCTCCTCATTGACACCGACTCCGCATGCATCGGCTCCAACAACAAGCCAGTGCCGGGCTTGTACGCTGCCGGCGAGGTGGCGGGCGGCGTGCACGGCAACAATCGCTTGGGAGGAAACTCCCTGCTGGACTGCGTGGTGTTCGGCCGCGTGGCGGGCAAGGCAGCTGCCAAGTACATGCTGGGCGCCGACATGAAGGATGTGGACCTGATGCAGATCACCGGCGGAGGGCTGTCAGGCGCGGTGCAGAGTTCCAAGCTGGCTGGCGGCTCCTACGAGGACAAGATGAACTCTGCCGCACCGGCGGCCGCTGCAGCTGCACCCGCGGCTGGCGGTGGTGGTGGCGGTGGCATGACCCTTGCAGACGTTGCTAAGCACAACACCAAGACGGACTGCTGGGTGGTGGTCGATGGTCAGGTCCTGGACGTCACCAGCTTCTTGTCGGAGCACCCCGGTGGCGAGCTGGCCATCCTCACCTTCGCCGGAAAGGATGCCACAGAGGAGTTCAACATGACGCTTGGATGCAGCTGCAGATTTGGTGCCTAACTGTACTCGCATAATCATCATTCTCATCATGGTCCATGAAATTTGTTTGAAGGATCCATCCTCCGGATGTGATTGGCAAGTATGCTCCTGACTCCGTCATTGGTATGATCGGTGGTGGTGGCGGCGGGGGTGGCGCAGTTGCTGCTGCCGGTGGAGGTGGCGGCGGCGGTGGAGGCATCCCCATGACCGAGGTGGCCAAGCACAACACCAAGACGGACTGCTGGGTGGTGGTCGACGGTCAGGTGCTGGACGTCACCAGCTTCTTGTCGGAGCACCCCGGTGGCGAGCTTGCCATCCTCACCTTCGCCGGAAAGGATGCCACAGAGGAGTTCAACATGCCCCTCGGCTATGAAATCGAGTGTCGACAAGGTGCGGAAGCCAATTTGTGGGATTGTCTGTTTCCGTTTGCTGAGGATCCATCCCCCGGATGTCATCGGCAAGTACGCCCCTGACTCTGTGATCGGTGCAGTCGGCTCCGGCGTGGCAGCTGCCGCCAGCGCCGCGCCCAAGGCGGGCGGCGGTGGGCCCATCAGGACCGCGGAAGGCCCCTAAACTTCCTGAACCCTCAAACCTACAAGCCGAAATTCAACTCCCCTTCAGTTCTCATTTCAGGAAGGACACCGGCAGCAAGCTCGGCAACCACGCAGCTTGGGGTCACCTGGACGGGGCACCCAACTGGCGCGTGGACCTCGACGAGAACCCAGGCACGGCTGCTCCTGATGGAGTGATCGTTGGGCTGTCCGTGGATGTTGCGCTCTTTGCCTGTTTGGCAGGTGTCCTCCTGATCAACGTCAAGTCCTATTTCAACGCCACTTGGTTCCTGCTGCTCTCGGTGCTGTACGTACCACAGCTGCGTTGGTGTGAAATCTGCTCACCTGAAGCATTGAAGACAGGACAGTATTGTACTACCAGTGCCCCAACTTAGGAAGTGTGCGCCACCATCTTCTCTGCAAAGAACATCAAGATCTCCAACGACCGCTTGGGTCTGACCCGAAGCGCCATCTTGCTGATTCTCTTCATCGTCATCCACGCGGTGGGTAACCTCCACGTCTTCAAAGGCCGGGTATCGTAGCTGTCGCTGTAGGTTCAGCGTTGATGCTTGATGATGGCTGTTGGAAGAAGACAGGTCCTGATGACTTCAACGGCTACGGCTACTTCTACGTGCGCCTCTACTGGACGGGCTTTGGCCTGCCAGCCAACATCGTCGAGGAGTACATCCTCCTGTCGGTGCTGCTCCACGTCTTCGTGGGCTTGAAGCGAACATGGGACATGAAGCTCGCTTTGGTGCAGAGCCAGGGCATCAACGTCCTGAACCTGGCCATCTCCGGCTTGATGCTCCTGACCTTCATGACCATCCACCTCTTCCAGTTCCGCTTCGGCGACACCGACCAGTTCGGCCCCTACTACATCCGGCCGCCTCCGTACCTCATCAACTTCTGGGGCATCTCCTCCCTGAACCTCTTCTGGACCTCCGACGCCAGCGTGGAGAAGGTCGGGGTGCGCGACATCTACGCCCGGGCCTTAGCTATAAATATGATTTTGGACGGCTTCCAGCGGTAGGGTGACCCTATAAGCCCGAATCGCCTAATAACTCCTGATCCTCCAAACGCCCTTTAACCAAGAAGTTAATCCTTGCAAACCTGAGCCCCATAAGCCCTAGACGCTTTTTTGCAGTGGCCTTTTTTCATTGTAGAAGTCCCAAGACAGTGTCTGTACAGGGATGGTGCGGTTCAGGGATGTTCAGGATGGTTTGGGTTCAGCGGCGAGTGTTCGTGCCTGCCAGGGATCGAAAAGCCTAAACAGTCCCCCACTCGCAAGCACAGACACAGAAAGTTTGCTTGGGAAGACAGCAGACAGAGCCTGCCGTTCTAAGAAGAGGGTACCTTACTAAGGGGTCTCCAAAGTTTCTTATCTGATAGGGCTGCTTCTTTCGGGTTGAGGGGTGCCTTCTTAGTGGAAGACCGGAGCCGATCACTGCCAGGTATCTTTTCATATGGACATTGCTGGTGCCTGTAATCGCAGTACAAGTAGTCTCCTGTTCTGTTTGAAGTTTGTTGCCTGTGGTTTGCGCCCCTGCATTGCGTCCGTGTCGCCACCTCGCCCCAAAGGAGTGCCCCGAGACCCTAAGCCCTAAACGCCCAACCTTAAATCCCAGAGCTGTAAACCCAACTCAGGGCGAACCCCTCCACCCTGAACCCGAAACGCCGATCCTAAAAAAACACTTTCTTGGGTCCTCAAAGTCCGGCAGAGCACTGAGGCCTTGGAGTTCCAGATCTTCAAGAACCCGTTGCCGCCCGGACGAAACCGTACCAGGAGGGGTTCTGCAAAAGGATTTCATGGACGGGGGTTTGGGTGGTTTGCCGGTGCCTCACGGTCAAGTTTGTCCTAGCTGTCTGTTTTGCTTTGCATCGCGTTCTGAAGGCTGTAGACCAGTTTGATGTAGCAAGGGTTCTCCCGGGTTTCACAGGGTTGGAGGATTTTTCGAGGCGTTGACATTGATCCCTATGGCGGCAGGTGTTGCCTGCCCTTGCAAGTAGCTACGTGGGTTGTGGTCTTGCAGGGATTTAGCACGTTCTATGCATCGTTGTAATGGGTTCATGGGATTTGATAAGCTGATCAGTAGGTTCATTGTTGTGGTTATGCAGAAGGCTGCTTGGGGTCGTCTTCTTCGTGCCCTCTAACCATAGACAGTTTCGACTTCATGGGGGCTAGTACGGTTATGGGTTCAGGATGGTTCACGCCATTCCCCCAGGCCAACAACGCCCTGAGCCGCACACTCTGGACCATCGAGTACTCTAGACCCCCAGCCCCAAACGCCCAAGCCACTAACCCCAAACTTGTGTTGCACCACAGTGCCTGGTCTTTTGGCGCTTCACCGATGAGCACCCCGAATCAGTGGTAATGCTGTTGG